AACTGGCTAGCAAAGGCTCCAACACCGGAGCACCATTGTTTGGATTAGGGTAATCTCTATCTGGAGATGAGAAGGCCCTGGGAGCTGTAGAACCTAAGGCCCTGGATGGCATTGCGGAATTCCCATGGGAAGTAGTGGGGCGATCTGCCTGGCAGCTGAGGTTAGGTTCTAGAAGGAAGATGGGAGAGGCGCCCAGGACTGAGAAGATGGGCTTGCATGGAAGGGACCTGCGAGGAGGGGAGCACAGTGCTGGGAGGGCATCTGCCTACTGGACCATGGCTGGCCCTGCCCTTCTGTGAACAGGCACCTGGAGGGCTCCAGGATTCCAGCAGTCCTTAGGGTGGCTGGGGCTTCCTTCCCAGGCTGGCTGCAGGAACCACGACTGAGTGTGGACTAGGATTGGGGGAAAGGGGACAGGGCTCTTCAACCAGTGCTTGCCTGGCTCTGTCCCTCCCGGAGCTACAACGCAACCATCTGCTTTCTTCTAGAAGTACAGTGGACACTTCTGTACCCTAACTTTGGAGCTTGGTTTCATATGACCACTGAAGGATGGCCTCTGTTTTCTCTGTCCAAATTTGTTACTATTCTTTTTTTTTTTTTTAAGTAATCTCTACACCCATTGTGGGGCTCGAATTCACAACCCTGAGATCAAGAGTTGCATGCTCCACTGAATGAGCCAGCCAGGCATTCCAAATATGTTACTACTCCTAATTTCTTCCCCGATGTAGAAGGCAAAAGTGGTCCTTTCATGTAGCTAGCTTCCTGGGTCTCCCTACTCTTCCTTATTCTTCCCAGAATTCCAGGGGAAGCTGGTTCTGAGGGACTGCCTAGGTCTGTGCTTTGCTAAGATTTCTAACACCATCCCTGTCCCCCCTCCCCAGATTTACTGGCTCCACATGGTCTATGCTGCTCTGGGGGCCATTTGCTTCACGTTGGTGAGTAAGGCCCTGCTCCCTCTCGGAGCTGAGGGGCTGGAGGGGAGCAACTAGACAGACGGAGCATGAATTCGGGCTGCTTGGGAGGCAGGGAGCAGGCCACAATTACCTTTCTCTCTCTCCGCTGTCGAGGTGACTGATGTTCTGGGCATTCCTGCCACCTCTTGTTCACCCGCCAGCTATGGAGCACACCCAGCAGGCCCTATTACGGATGAGGGTGTGTCTCTCTCCTTTCTAGACTCTGAACCGCGTGAGGGTAGAGACCACGTGCTGTGCTGTTCGTTAACATGTCCCTAAGCATACTGCATGGCATGGAGGCTCCCAGGACAGATCTGCTGATGAAACGAGAACCAGAAAGGAGCTCTGGCCACGGAGCCCCTGGGTTCTCACGCGTGCCTTCCCTATTCCTACAGTTCCTGGCTTATGACACGCAGCTGGTCCTCGGGAACCGGAAGCACACCATCAGCCCCGAGGACTATATCACTGGCGCTCTGCAAATCTACACCGACATCATCTACATTTTCACCTTTGTGCTGCAGCTGGTCGGGGATCGCAATTAAGGAGCACCGCATTCCGCCCCACCGTGGGCTCCCGCTTCCCTAGAGGGCCGGGCCCTGTGACCGGAGTCTGGACCTCAGATCCCTTTCCTTCCCCCTGCAGTAACATGCCCAGTTTCTGTTCTGTCCTGGGATGGGTGGCCCCTCTGGCGGTAGATGCGCAGGTTACCTGATGGGCTGGAGGAACTGGGGACTAACTCTTGCCTTTGGTAGACCCAGAGGGGACTAGGCAGATGTGCCTTCTTCTCCACCCACTACATGGCACCAAATTCTTCTCAATAGCTGGGGTTGCAGGGAAGGACAAGAAGAGCCTACTCTGTAGCCAAAAAAGGAGTATGAGAGGTAGAAGTGACTTCGAGGTGATGAGGTGTCCCCTCCCACCTCTGCCATAGGCTTCTGGGCTCTGTAGCTAGAGCTATTTCCTCCCTCAACCCCCAAGTCAGAGAGCTTTGTCCCCAGCCTCCTGGACTCCTAGGCCATTGTCCTGTACTCCTTTGACAACCCTTGGTGTCTTCAAGCTCCTGAAGGTAGATCTGTGCCCATGGGTCTCCCCTGCTTCAATCCCCGTTTTCGATGGCATATACGTATACTGTTTGGAGCAGGGGAGGAAGGGGGGCGGTAAGCAAAGTCAAGCACAGGGGCCAATACAGAGTGGCATCTACCCTGGGCTTCCTCATGGCTTCTGGTGGTGGAGAGGATAGGCCTGTTCGCAGCCGTCTGGTCCCCATTCTCCAAAGCCCTGCCTGGGGCCTCCTTGGCTGCCTCTGAGCTCTCTGGTCAGAGAGACCTCTTGTTCCAGTGCCCAAGCTGCTCCGAGCAGAAAGCGAGGAGCAAAGGTCAGGAGATGGGGTGGTTTGTAGGACTGTAAGTGTGGCCAGGAAGTAACGAGGGTGAAGAGAGGCCAGGGTGGGGGCAGGGGAAAGGCTCTGGGGTCTTCTGCCTGGTCTGAGGGATATGAAAGCCTCCTGTGGTATCCATGGAAACTTCCATGTTCTTATGCTAACCTGGGGAGGACCCTGAGCGAAAGGAGACTTCTGCTCTCAGTTTGTACTGGGGGATTTCAGACTTGAGGCTTATCTCTCCAGCCAGCTGCCACTTTCTTCGCTACACATAGTGCCTCAAGCTGGAACGGGTGGGGGGTGGGGTGGGGGTGGAAACCAAATTAGCCCAAGGATATAATTAGGACTTCTCTTAACTACTTGGTCCTAAATATATCACGCAAAAGGACATAACTAGAAATGTAATAAAGTTTTATGTTTAGGAGTTAAATCCCTATTTGGCTCTGGTTTCTTTGCTTTAAGATGGGAGCTCTGGGAGTGCTGGTTTGGCTCTGCCCAAAGCATCCGCTTCCTACCTCTGCATTCCGGCTTGGCGTCTTCTGCCTTTTCTAAGATAATCAAATATATTTTGCCCCAGTGCTTCCGGGTGATGGATGCAATAGACTGGTAAAGGTTCAACCCTGCAATATGGGGTCTGGCAGGGACCGGTCAGAGCAGTGGCACGTGACCTTTTCTGCATCCCGGACCCTTTACAAAAGCACATGAGAGCTATGAACTCTCCTTCCCACAAAGCTGTATGTGTTCACACGACTTCACATGTGGGGGTGGGGGGAGATGAACCACAGGTTCAAGTTTAGAATGCATGCCTTAGAAATCACTAGTCCAATCCCCGTTACAAACAAGGAAACTGAGGTCAGAGTGCCCAGTGACTTGGACCGGACCAAGAGGAGGAGCGCTTCCCCTCCCCATACCCTCTGAACGCCCTTTTTCATTCTTTTTTATTTTTCGTTAGAGGCTCAGTGAGACCCCACCCTCCTGGCCAGCAGCTCTGAAGGCTTGGTCCCCAGGGCCTGAGCCTAGGCTTGTTGTACTTAAGTCTCTGTAGTCTCCCCAACCAGCCAGCCAGGAACACTGAGCGCTCCTGTGAGAGGGAGCACATGTGAGTAACCAACCCCTCCCTCGGCCCCTCCCATCCCAAGGAATTCACAAGCCCACTCCTGGTTCCTTTGCGCTCAAAACATTTCAGGACTTTATTTGCCTTTGGCTGGCTTCTGAGGAGGGGCAGGGCAGGGGGCTGGCAGCGCCCTCTGGTGGACCTCATAGGCAAGGACCGGAATCTTGGCCAAACCCAGAGGACTTCACAGTCTTGGAGGCCACAGTCAATACGGTCTAGGGGAGGGTGGCAGTGTTCCTCAGGCTTGCACCCCTGACCCCGCTTCAGGAGACGGGGCATGTTGGGAGGAGGCCCTGAACCTCTGGCTCTCGTACTCGCCCGTGTTGGATGCCCGCATGTTCTGCCGAGCCTTCATCTGCTTCAAACGGTCCTTGTCCACTTCCTGCTTGGTGAGGATGAAGAGGAGGATACCACAGGGGAAGCCGATGGCCCTAGGGGTGGGGAGATGTGCACGGGATTTGGGGAGGGGCCAAGCCTGAGCCAGAGGAGCTGGGGGAATCTCATTCCAGCTTCATCGGTTGCACGAACACCTCAATATCTCTCTTGTCTATGCAGCCTCCGCACTGGCTGCTGGAGGGCCAAAAGCAAATCAGATCCTGCTGCTGCACTGCTTAAAACTCTCTAACAGCTCTCCGTCACTTCCTGGCCAAATCCAAACTCCTAGGCACAGCACAGAAGGCCCAGTGTGGCTGGTCCTCTGCCCACGTTTTCATTCCTGTCCCATATAGCTTGAGGCTCCTTGACGTGAGCCCTGCGATCCTGCCATATGGACTATGCAAGATTCTCCAGATGGCCCATCCTCCTTCCCTCTCCAAGTGTTGGCAAAGGTTCCCTCTGCCTTAACTGCCCCACATCCCCTCACAGACTCCCCTTCATCTGAGTAACCACTACCTGGGAGGCACTTTAGTGTGAGGGAGAGGGCATAGAGTCACAAGACCTGGTGAGGATCCCACCTCTGAACCTTACTTATAGTTCCCTCCTCTGTGAAATGGGATGTACTTAAAAAAAAAAGGGGTTTTTTTGTATTTTGGGTTTGGGGGATGTAACATTTATCTCAGAAAAACTAAAACATTACACTGTAAAGTACTGGCACACCTCAGGTGTGGTAAAAAAAAAAAGTGTTAATTTTCCCCTCCTTTCAATGTTGATCAACAGTACATGTTAAGGTCGGAGTCAGAGCCAAATAACGAAGTACCAAACACCTTCTAGATGCTACTTATACAACTAACACAATCTCACATGATCTTAATGATCTCCATGAAAGAGCTCAATGGGCTTTCAGCCCAAGCTCCCAAAAGAGAGAATGAGGCCAGGGACCCAAATTCAAATCAGATGAGCTCAGCTTACTACACCGAAACCCCACTGTGTCTCCAATTCCACATACTTTCCCACCTCCCCTGTGCCATTCCTCTGACATTCCAGTCCTCACGCCAAGCAGTTCTGTCCCCACAACCTCAGATTCAACTCACCACCTGAAACTTGGAGAACTTTCTGGGTCCCACCCTCCACTGTGCCACTCCCCGTTGGTGGGCAAAGAGTTTTAGTTAAAACTCACCAGGCGAGTCCCACAGCTTTCATGGGGTTCTTGCCCCTCTTTCTGGGAATGTATTCCAGCTCAGGGGATAGGGGCTCCGGCTCCTCCTTGCACTCTGGGGAGCTGTGGCTTTGCAGTGCCCGAGTCCTGTTCTGTGAGGCCTTGTTAGCTGTGGCTCCTGAGAGAATCCCTGTGGATGGAAGGAAGGAAGGTCAGTAAGAGAGGATGAGAAGAAAGCCCAGGGGAAGAAGGGGAGAGACAGCAGTTTGGAGTAACGAGTGCCAGGGAGAATCCAAAGGGAAAATGGGAAAATTGCCATCGAGGTGGCACCTCTGGAAGCCACTTCCACGTCACTGCGGGCTCATCACCCTGGTGCCAGGAGAGCGAGCTTCGTTGTTCTTCATCTACTCAGACGACAGGATGTGAAGGACTGCAGTGGGGCTCACATAAGTCGTATGAAGGAAATCCGAGGAAAGGTTTTCAAACTGCGGGATGTTAGCACTGGGAGCTTAAAGGTAGTCTACTCCATCCCCTTATTTTATAGAAGAGGAAACTGAAGCCCCGAGAGCCGAACTGCTTCGCCCAAGGTCAAACTGCTAATTATCCGGGGCTAGAACCCAAGCCTCCAGAAGCCCAGGGCTCTTTCCTCTGCACTGCGGTGAGTGTGAAACACCTGGAGCGCGGGAGTCTAAAAGGCTTCCTCGGAGCTCCCTCTCGCAGCATGACCCCAGAGGTGTCGCGCAACTTGAGGGCAGGGGGATGGGCTGGGTGACCTCTAGAGAGCATCTTTGAGCCCCTTGACTCTTTATGATCCTGCAGAGGGGTGCAGGCAGGAATCGACAGCCATGACCTCCTGCTACCGCTGGCCGGGATGTATAAAAAAAGGGGATCCCCTGCCGTCCTGCCCTCCCCGGGGTCCCTCTCCTTACCCCGGAGGACGCGGGCATTTCTCGCCCCCCGGCCCTTCAACGCCGTAGCAGCTACCACCGCCGCCATGTTCAGATCCCACCCCCCCCTTCACCGCGCTCCGCGCCGGGAATTGTAGTTTGCGTAAGGGGCCTCCCCCGCTCCTTCCGTCCTGCCTACAGACCAGGAACTACATCTCCCAGAAGCCTGCGAGGGGACCCGGGAGAACTACTCTTCCCAGGAGACCCCGGAGGCGCGCACGCTCGCTTGTTTCCCTCCTGTTGGAGGCGGAGTCAGGCCGGGCGGAGTTTGGGTTCTCCCCGCCACGCCCCGGCCCCTTCTCCCAACTCTGCTCTGTGACTGGTGGGTCGGCCAGTTAGCCCCCTTCGCCATTGGCCTAGCGGCCGTCGCTCTTCCTGCCGGGGAGTCGCCTACGCCTACTTCCTCCCGGGAGGAGGGGCTCGAGTTCCGCGTCGTCGCGCAGAGCTGACTCTGGGAGGCGTTTGGGCCCAGAGAAGTGGATCGGCCGCTTGCGCCGCATGGAGTCCGAATCCGAGAGCGGGGCCGCCGCTGACACCCCCCCACTGGAGACCCTGAGCTTCCATGGTGATGAGGAGATTATCGAGGTGGTAGAACTGGATCCTGGCCCGCCGGACCCGGGTGAGAACTGTCGCTCCTCGGGCCGTGGGACAGGAGGCGCTCACCCCTGGCCTCTGACCCTTGCTTCTCCCCCCTCCCGTCCCCTCCCCACCGGTCAGTCCTACCGACCTCTTTCGCCCTTCCCCCTGCCCTGCCCCCACACTTAGCTCTCAGGCCTGGCAGGGGTGGGGGTTCCCCTGACGCCTCCTCTGGCCCTTCCCCTCACACACCCCCTTCCCATCATCCCCTCGGTCCTCCCTTCCCACACCGTCTCTCGCCAACCCCGGGTCCTCAGACCCTCTGCTGTCCTCCGTCCCCAGTGCCCCCTCCTCCCTGTCGCTCCTCCCCGCGCTTCACCCTCTCCGTCTGACCTCAGCCGACCCTCTTGCTACATCCCAGCGCCTCAGGCCTCCCCACCACGTCTCCCCTGCCCTCTTTCTTAACTGTCTGCCGAGCCCCATGTCTTAACCGTCTCCCCGAAGCAGATGATCTGGCCCAGGAGATGGAAGATGTGGACTTTGAAGAAGAGGAGGAAGAGGAAGAGGGCAACGAGGAGGGCTGGGTTCTGGAACCTCAGGAAGGGGTGGTCGGCAGCATGGAGGGCCCAGACGACAGCGAAGTCACCTTTGCATTGCACTCAGGTAGGTCTCTGAGGAGATCCGTCATCAACTCAGTGCACGTGGGCATTTGAACATCACACACCTGCTGTGTAGGGAGCCTTCCGAGGGACATGGAGGTGGGAAAACAGAGGCTGGCCTTGCCCTGGAGGAACTCGCGCTGTGAAGGCCTGGGGCAGAGCTTGGCTCCTGGAGCCAGCCGAGACACCTGGCTTCAAATTCCCCTTTTGCTCCTTACGGATTTGTGATTTCTGTTAATCTCTCTGGGTCTCAGTTTCTTTTCAAAAAGTCGTTTTGTTGTAAGTTAGAGGTAGTAGTACCTTTTTGAGCATGTTTTATATAATTCTCCCAAATGGTAGCCCTTAATGAGGTAGGTGACGTGGTGCTTTCCTCACTCTGTGCTCAGCCTGGTGGCAGCCCGCGCTGAGACCTGTAAGCCTGCACGTGTACCCTCCTCTTGTCTGTGCGTCTGTCTGGGGTGGTGAACGCAGCAGCCCAGGGCAAGGACTTGGAGCTTGGCAAGCGTGGGGAGGAATTGCTCCAACAACTTGATGCTTGAAACTTAGAAGAACTTGGATGCGCTCTTCTTTTCCAGGAGGAAAGACATGTTACTTTGGGTGGAAGGGGGTGGGTTTCCTGAAGGTCCCGAAGGACAGAACCTGGGGTGGGAGCCCTGTCCGCTTACTCATGGAATATCTCTTTGGACAGCATCTGTGTTTTGTGTGAGCCTGGACCCCAAGACCAACACCTTGGCAGTGACGGGGGGTGAGGATGACAAAGCTTTCGTGTGGAGGCTCAGCGATGGGGAGCTGCTCTTTGAGTGTGCAGGTGAGGGAGTATGGGTGAGGTCATGTTCCTTTGGAGGTCTTAGGGGGCTAGCCTGCAATGATTGTGCATCCAGCAGCCATTTACTGGTGCCCATTTTGGGCCAGTTCTGTGCTGGACCCGAGGACCTCAGAATAACTTAGTCTGTCTTGGGCATGGGGAGGGAGCCAGTAGTGGCCAAAGGAGTCTGGGGAAGGTCTAATGGGAAGGACATAGGCCGGGGCTAGGCATGGTTGAGTGGGAGGCTAGCGTTACCATCCCTGGGGAGACCTCCTGAAGCGGCAGTGAGCTCAAGTCACCTGTTACGGTGGGACCCACGCTTCTCTTCCCAGCTGGTCCTTTCTGGGCGCCAGACACCTGGGTCCTGTTCTCCTGATGTTCTCCTCTCTTTCTGCCTCCTTCTCTTTGCAGGCCATAAGGACTCTGTTACTTGTGCTGGTTTCAGCCACGACTCTACCCTTGTGGCCACAGGGGACATGAGTGGCCTCTTGAAAGTGTGGCAGGTGGACACCAAGGAGGAGGTCTGGTCCTTTGAAGCGGGAGATCTGGAGGTGAGAGCATCAGAGTGGTGTTCGGCTGCGCGGGGCCTCGGGGAGGAGCTGGGCGCTGGGGGGTCCAGTCTCGCCTTTACCAGCCCGAGCCCGCTCTGAAGCATTGTGCTCTCCACGTGCAGCAAGAGTGTGGGGCTCTGTTTCCTGTCCTGTCCCTGCCGCCGTCGGAAGCAAGGACAGCTTGGGTGGCGCTTACGGGACGGGCTCCTGGGGGGGGCCAGGCCTCCCTGCTGATCCTTGCTCTCTGCCCAGTGGATGGAGTGGCACCCTCGGGCACCTGTCCTCCTGGCGGGCACGGCTGATGGCAACACCTGGATGTGGAAGGTCCCAAATGGTGACTGCAAGACCTTCCAAGGCCCCAGCTGCCCAGCTACCTGTGGCCGAGTCCTCCCTGACGGTAAGGCCGCTGCCCTGTCTGTCTTTCCCGGGGCACAGAGAGCTTGGCTCCAGGTTCACCCGCCTTCCTGGGCTCCCTACCGGGCCTTAGCCGGCCAGCTCCAAGCCCTGCTGTCTGGAACATGGACCCAGGCCCCAGAGCCAACCGCTTCCCCTTTCCTGCCCTAACTGGCTGCTAGTCCCTGGGGCGGCGTCTGTTCCCTTACTTCCTGGTTTCCCCCTTCCCCCCGATTACCTTGCTGGGTGTGCCTGTGAGTGCTGTCTGTCCTTCTCTCCGTCCGTGCCTGTGGCCCTTCAGGGAAGAGAGCCGTGGTCGGCTATGAAGATGGCACCATCCGGATCTGGGACCTGAAGCAGGGCAGCCCGATCTACGTACTAAAAGGTCTCCAGGGCAGGGCCAGGGTTCAGCGGGTGTCTGTGTGGAAGGCCTGGGGCAGGCCTCGGGGGTGGCGAGGAAGCCTGACTTAGCTGTCTGCTCTGTCCTAGGGACCGAGGGCCACCAGGGCCCTTTGACCTGTGTCGCCACCAACCAGGACGGCAGCCTGATCCTCACCGGCTCCGTGGACTGCCAGGCCAAGCTGGTCAGTGCCACCACTGGCAAGGTGAGTGCGACCCGGAGCCAGGTTCTGGGGCCTCTGCCTCCCGTGTCGTGCCCCCCTGCCCACTCTCTGAGGGCTCTCCCGGCCCCTCTCCCGGCACCTCTCCCGACCCCTCTCCCGTCGCCTTTCCTCCTCATCAGCCCTCCTCCCATCCTCGGATTGTCTCCCGTGGCTTCTAGGTAGTGGGGGTTTTCAGACCCGAGACCGTGGCCTCCCAGCCCAATGTGGGAGAAGGGGAGGAGAGCGAGTCCAACTCCGTGGAGTCTTTGGGCTTCTGCAGCGTGTGAGTGTGAGAAGGGCCTCGGCCTGGAGAGGAGAAAGCTGGGGAGGAGGGGGTTTGGCGAGGGGTGCCTGGGCCGGGGAGCCAGGGAGGAGTGCAGAGTGCGTGAGTCCAGATCCTTCTACGAGCCTTAGTGGTGCCCTCCTCTGCCCAGGATGCCTCTGGCAGCGGTCGGCTACCTGGACGGGACCTTGGCCATCTACGACCTATCTACGCAGACGCTCAGGCACCGGTGTCAGCACCAGGTACGGGCAGCCTGGAGCTGCAGCGTGGCCCTCTGTGGCCCTCCCCGCCTCCCCACTGCTCCCCTCCTCCATCCCTCCCCGAGAGTCAGGGCCGGCGCCTCCCCGCTTTCCCGGCCCTGACATCCACTCTGTCCGCTCTGTCCCGTGCCCCCCCCCGCCGTGCAGTCGGGCATCGTGCAGCTGCTGTGGGAGGCAGGCACCGCCGTGGTTTACACTTGCAGCCTGGACGGCATCGTGCGCCTCTGGGACGCTCGCACCGGCCGCTTGCTCACGGACTACCGGGGCCACACGGCCGAGATCCTGGACTTCGCCCTCAGCAAGTACGTGAGTTGGGCAAGGGCTGGAGCCTCTGTGTATTTGGAGGGTGGGAATGGCACCTGGGGGGCCGTAGGGTCCTTGGGGTGTGGGAGGGGCTTCCTAAGGGAAGCTAGGGCCCAAGGCCTGGTGTGTGAGCCCGAAGTGCGGGGAAGCCTGAGGGAGTTGTCGCTTCTGCTTGATGGTGACCTGCGTGGGCTCTCACATCTCCGCTCCGGGGCTCAGGGGCTGGGACCGTCTCCCCCCACGCTGTGGGCTCTTCTCTGATCCCCTTACTGGTTGCTGGTGTCCAGTGTGTTCACTCGACGTGGACATGTCAGCCCGGTGCCAGGCACCAGGGATCTAGGATGGAGGATGCCCTGGAGGAGGCCACCCGAGGGTCCCTGGGTAATGGGCTTGGGGCCGGGCCCCAGGTCCCTCAGTCCCATCGACCTGCGCTTTCTGTCCACAGAGATGCCTCCCTGGTGGTGACAACGTCAGGAGACCACAAAGCAAAAGTATTTTGTGTCCAGAGACCTGACCGCTAATGGCTGCAGTCTCTGCTTTGGTGTTGAGGGGTGAAGGGAGAGCCCCACCAGCAGAGGCAGTAGGGTACGGGGGAAGGGGGGGGCCTCGGACTACTTTCCAACCCCTTCAAACTGACTTGCCCGCTCTTGTCCCTTAAGAGACCCACCCCTTGGGCTCCCCCCACCACCCTCACCCAGACCTGCGGGTCCCTCGGGGGGTTGGGGGGGTGGTCAGGCCTCTTTCTCTTTCACCTTCATTTGCTGGTGGGAGCCCCGGGGGTGTGTGTTTGTATGTGGGGAGTAGGTCTTTGAGGTTCCCGTTCTTTCCCTTCCCAAGTCTCGGGGGGGTGGAAAGGAGGAAGAGAGATTAGTTACAGATTTTAAAAATGTAAATAAAATATACTTCCCAGAGACCGTGTGTATGTGGATTTTGTGGCACCCGGACATGAGGAACCAGTTGAGGGACATGTCGGGGTGAGGCTCCCTGCAAAGTCTGCTAGGCTTCGAGATCCCTCAGCTCACCGTCTGGGGCGGCGGCTCGTCCTCCCCGGCAGTTGATTCTGAGGGAGTCGGATCCGTGTGGCTGCATGTCTGGCTTTGGTTTCTTTCCGCTGCTGCCCCCCGCTCCCACCGCTCTTTCCGAGCTGCGGAGTGAGATAACCGTGAACTGGGCCAGACGAGTTTATTTGGTCAGGGTGGGGGTCACATAAGGGCAGGGCCTCAGATCCCGGGGCTTGGGGACAAGAGGAGACTGGCTCGGTGGCCGAGATGGACAGATGCTTCGAGTAGGGGCCAGCAGAGGCCCTTGCCCCAGTTCAGGTTGAGGTCCACGCTGCTTTGGCTGCTGGTGTGGTAGGCCGGGCCGGGGCTGGGGGGCTCTCCGCAGCGCGCGCAGGCACCTCCGGGCGGCCGCCCTCCAGGGGCCCATGTAGCGCTGGTCACCCAGCCCCATGGCCACGGGCACGGCTGCCGCACTGGCACTGCCCAGCGACATGAGGGACAACAGAGTTCCGGGCCCCAGTGGCGGGCGCTGCTCGAAGGCCAGGACCGAGAGGAGCAGGGTGACCACGTAGGGCCCCCAACACAGCCCGAAGAGCAGTGTGGCCCCGGCCTGCGCCCTTGCCTGCTTCCAGGTGAGCGCCCGCGCCAGGGCCGACGGCGCGCTGCGGCTCACTGCCCGCTCCAGCCGGCGGATGTCGCTCAGCTGGCGGCGGGCGGCGGCCAGCACGCGGATGGACAGAAGGGCGGCAGCCCCCACGGCGGGCAGCAGGAGCCCGTAGACTTCGAGGTAGAGGTAGGGCGCGGGGAAGACGGCCTGGGAGCTGCAGCTGGTGCCGGGGGCCCAGCGGTTCCATCCCAGCGCCGGCAGGCTGGCAAAGAGCAGGGGGCTGGCCCAGGTGAGGAGCAGGGCCAGCCGCGGGCTCCCGCGGGGCCGGAGGGGCCACAGCACGGCCGCGTAGCGCTCGCCGTGCACCAGCAGGAGGTTGGCGAGCAGGGAGAGGAAGGAGAAGTTGGGCGCCAAGTAGAGGAAGAGGCAGGGCCAGTAGCTCCGGCGGCTCTGGCTCCAGAGGCCGGGCAGCGCGGGCAGCGCCAGCCCCGTGAGCAGCCCGGCCAGCAGCAGGCTCAGGAAGAAGCAGCCAGCGGGCGGGTGGCGCAGCTGCCGGTCCCAGGCGATGCCCAAGGCCAGGAGCAGGTTGGCAGCGACGATGAGGCTGGCCAGGGCCAGGGAGAGCCCCAAGGCCCCCGCGGGGACGGGGCTGGGCGCCTCCCCGGTGCCGTTGGGTGTCATCTTGGGCCCAGGGACGGGGGCCGCCTGGAGCAGCAGTCGGCGGGCCTGCGTGAGAGATGGGCGGCCCAGTGAGGCAGATGGTGCCCGCCGGCCGGCCGCGAGCCTTACCTTCTTAAGCGGGCATGCTTTTTTTTTCAATTAAGTGCCAGTTACGATTTACATAAAAATCCGTATCTTGGGCTTCCCACCTCCCGCAGCAAGTATGTCCCGCGGCTGGACCTGAGGGGTGCCTGTGTTCACCCAACTCCCCAGGCCCTACCCTGCAGCTGGCCATTGTCATTCCCTGTCCGAGCCCCTCTGGGCCACCGCGTTTGATGCCTCCATTTGGACAGAAGGGTGGACCCACCCAGCCCCAAAGCCCTAGAGCATTTTGTCCACCGCTGCCTCCACAAGGCAAGGCCTCACACTGGCCAGAAGGGAGGACAGAGTTTGGCTGGTGTGTAGTGGTTTCTGGCCAGCCATCAGTTGAGAGCCTCCTTCAGGTCGGGTTGGGGCCAGTGCTGGGGGGGCGGGGGGTGCTACGATGAAGGAGGGGTCCCTGTCCTCAGATGCTCCCAGTCCTGCTTGGCACCAGAGCATTAGGAGAGGGGAGGCTGCTAAGGATTGGGGGGGGGACAGTGAGGCAGAGGCGAAGGCAGGGCTGGCTGAACACCTGAGTTAGCGACAGGCCAGGGCCACGGGTGGCAGCAGCAAGCAGGGTGCCCCGTCCCCTGAGCACCCCCCTCCCCCGCACAGCCGGTTACAGCTCAGTGAGCAGCCTCCGGGTAGGACTTCCAGCCCATAAACTTGACTCATCCGCACCACACTAGCAACAGGGCCCTTCCTGGGAACTGGAGGTAGAGGGGAGGAGGAAGATGCGGGCAGCAAGGACGGGCGGCTCACCTGAAGCTAAGCCCAGAGGCGGCGGGGCGGGGGCGACGGGGGGGCGGGGGGGAGCCTGAGGGCAGGACCTGGCCGGTCTGTGGCTGATCTGGCCCCACCCTTCCCTTTCTTGGTTCTGTGTACTCAGCCCCCTCCGGCACCCTGGCCCCAGGAAAGGATTCCCACCCGCCCCCACCCCCCTGGATCCGAGGGCACCACCGCCAGCCACCCCGAGCTCAGGACCCTTCTCTTCCCAGCTGCCCCCCCCCCCCCCCCAAGGCCGGCCAAGCCACGCCAAGCTGCTGCCCCTCTCCCCACCCCTCAGCCCATTTCCTCTTCCTCATCCTCCCTCACCCCTCTCCCCGAGCCCTCTACCCTGGACATCCTTCCCTCTCTATCAGGCCCTTCAGTTTCTGTTCCCTTAGTGCCTGCGCCACCTTTATTAAACCCCATGAGACCTCAGGGTCCGTGACCTCAAACCTGGACTCTGGAGTCCAGGGCTGGAGCTCCCAGCACTGCCCTGGAGTGAGTCCCCACTCCACCTCCCCCGGGGCAGCCTGAAAGGCAGGGCTGGCCCCAGGGCCGCTTTCCCAGGGCTGGGCTGGCCCCGTGACCTGCACGGGTGGCTTGGGCTGGCTGCGCTGGAGGACCCGGGGCTGAGGTCTCCTTGTGAGGTTGGGTGCGGGGTGGATGGCGGCGGGGGAAGGGGGATGAGGGCGTAGCTACTCACATGGCTGTTGGGGGCAGGTGTTGCTGGCCCAGCCTGGGCTTTCCCCTCAGTGTCAGGGTGTTGCCGTAGGCAGGCCTGCAGGGCTTCTGGCGCTGTCTGCTGTCCCGGCTGGTGAGGACATGGTGCTTCCACTCCGCGGGGACTGCAGGGCCCCGGGGCTCTCTGCTGCCCAGGCTCTGCCCCTGCCCTGGGTTCTGGAGGGATGGAGCTGGAGCGGGTGGGGCTCAGCCTGGCCCCGCCTCTGGGGGGGTGGGGCCTGGCACACGCTGGGCGGCAGGGGCTGGGAGGCCTTCCCATCTCGGTCCAGTGCCCTCGCCCTATGCTGTACCCATGTGCCCCCTCTCCGGCCACCAGGTATAGCTTGCCACCAAGGTGGCAGATCCCCTACCTCAGGTCACCCAACTTGGAGCCCTGTCACCTGCTGCCTGCCTAGCTAATGGGAGAAATGCGGTCCACTCAATGAATGATCAGGGTTCCGGCTCCCCCTCTCCACTTCCTGTCCCCGCGAATACATTTACATTTGATGAGTCTTAAACCCCTGGAGTGGCCAGCTGGCTGACAGCACCCCCAGCTCCATAATTCTGAAGAGCAGTGTCTGATGGTGCCAGGGCTGGGGGTGTTTGGAGCTTGAGGATCCTCCCATCCTATTACCTGATGGGCCTTTTGGCTTAAAAGCCAAACTTACCTTCTAGAACTTGGGGGTCATTCCGCACTTTTCTCAACTGCCTCAAGTTCTGGGCAGTGAGGTAAAAATGGCTCTGGGGGTGTGGCATTGGGCAAGCTAACCTCTGGGCCTCAATTTTCCCCCCTGTAAAAGGGGAACAAGTAAAACTACCTCTCTGGGCTGTTGGGGGAATGTCATGGAGTAACATATGTGACTGCGTATATCCCAGTGTCTGACACTTAATGGGAGGCCTCCATGATGAATAAGAGGCGTGAGCCCAGAAAGCCTGGGTTTGACTCTTAGAATCTTGGCTGGGATCCTTTTTTGTTGTTGTTTAGCTGTGTGAACTTGGGCAAATTACTGAAATTCTTTTGCCTTCGTTTCCTCATCTGCAGAATGGGGCTTCTATTGCGCTCCCCTAGGGCGAGACTAACTGAGCCAATGCGTGAAGACTTGGACGAGCACTAGGCACACAGGCACCCAGTGAAAGGCAGCTGTTAACATTTTTAGGATTTCTGCCCTCTGGATGTCGCTTCCCTCCAGCCACCTGTCCCCGCTAAGAAAACTGTAGAGAAAGGCAGATAGCTCATGAAAAGCTGGAGGGGATGGCACTTCTGCTCCACAGACAGCAAGGAGGCCAGGTACAGGAGAGGAAGGGCGAGTGCAAGGCTGGGGAGCCAAGAGGTGGGATGCTCCCGTTTTCACGGGTATCAAGTGAGGCCTTGGGGTGCTGGAAAGCAGCAGGCTGAAGTGGGAGGGAGCAGCAAACTGCAGCAAGAATGCCAGAGATGAGACAGGAGGAGAGACTTCCCTGCTCAAGAGCACAGGTAGACGGAGCGAGGGGACCTCTGCGCCCTCAGCGGGGAAGGGCGGGGAGACCCGCACTGAAGGCTGGTGGCCCGAGGGGTCTAGCTCTGCCCATCCTGCAAGGGGTCAGGGGGCCCGGGGAGGCAGGACTTCTGTTGGGACAAAAAGTGGGAAGAGGAAAGCATCCAGCCTCAAAACCCTCCTCAAGCGAGCTGGTGGCCAGAGGACGCGGGCTTCCAGCAGCCGGCCCTCAGACCCACGCTCTCTGGTCGGGCAGAAGTCAGAGGCTCTGGGAGAGTTCAGACTGGGGCCTGGACACAAGTGGCTGTGGGGCCCCTCAGATGTTGGGCTGCCAGGAATAAACAGACCTCCTTCTGTTCCCAGCCCTGGCCTCCTCGGGATCCAGGATGTCTGTGTTTCTTCTTCGCTGCTTTGTCTAAACAATGTGTGTGGGATGACGTCCGAAGGGGGCAGCTTAGGCGGCAGGGGCTGGGAAGTCTGGGTCCTGTCTCCTCCTCACTGGACCATCTGGGCCTTCTCTGCTCCCCCATCCATCTCTGGCACCGGCTCATCCCCAGCCTTCTAGACCCTTGGCCCACAGGAGGGCTCTGGTGCAGGCAGTTTCCAGACCCTCCATTCCAGCTGCAGGCCAGTTTCCATGGTCCCTGTTCTCCTCTCCTCAGGCACAGCCTCTATGGCAGGGTTCAACCCTGCCGGGGAATCCTCCTAGGCCTCCTTCGTCCACTCCGTTCTCTTGGATACTGGCAGCTCTTTGCTGACCTTGGGGGCCCGGGGCCAGGTGGGTGTGGTACGCAGGGGCTGGGGCACTTGCTAACTGGACAAGTGGAGGCAAGGAAGCCCCGGGGCTTTCTGGACCCTGGCTGGCCTCCAGGAGCCGCTGTCAACACTCTTCACTCCCCTCAGGCAAGAGCAGACAAGCCCTTGGGAGCCTCTGGAGGGCCCTGGGTACAATCCTGGCCAGGACTTTCACCTCAGGAAGATCTGAGCCAGGTCTCTGGGCAAAAGAAACCCTGTTCCTTCCTGTTAGGATTAAGCCAGACTCTCCACGGCCCCCTCCGGGCCACTGCAGTGTTTCAGCAATCCCTGGAAGGGTGTAGCATTGCTTGAACTCAAAAGAGCCCCCAGAGCAGATGCAGGCTTGGGTCTTTGGCCTCAGGAGCTGTTGGGACGAGGGTTTTCACTTCCAGTGAGACCAAAGGGAATGAAAATGGCAACTGCTAAGTATGGGCTGCCCAGGACAGGGCTGACGCAGCAGCGGGTACTTCCTTTTCCAGGTCTGCCACCCACCGGAAGCGGGTGACAAGGGGCCACCCCTCCCCAGTGCACAGGTTTGTTGGGATGGGCCCTGAGCCCCGAACTAAGAGCCCATTTCCGTGGAGTCCAGGTGACTGAATGACCTATAGCTTTCAGATTTCTTGACAGTGACCCACAGTAAAAAAGGGTGTTTTATAATCTAATCAAGATGTGTGTACATAACCAAAACACACTCCAAAATCAATACTTACCCTTGAGAAATGTGATGTACTCTGATCTATACTATCCCATTAAAAAAAAAAGAAAAAGCTGGGGCGCCTGGGTGGCTCAGTCTGTTAAGCATTTGCCTTTAGCTCAGGTCATGATCTCACGGTCCTGGGATCAAGTCCACATTGGGGTCCCTGCTCAGAGGGGTGTCTGCTTCTCCCCCTCCCCCCACTTGTGCTCGCTTGCTCTCTCAAATAAAATCTTAAAAAAAAAAGAGGCCAGTGATGAAGTTAACACACGTGACAGACACACGCCCCCTCCCCCCCAAACGCACACAAGCATACACCCACGAGCCAGGCCGGACTGTGTCCACGACATGGTCCTGGCCGAGATACTGCACTACCATCATTCAAGATGCTACCACTGGGGGGAGCTGGGTGAAGGACACAGAATTTCTGT